CTATGAAATACCGTAAGTACAAGGTCTGGGGAGAACAGAAGAAAAAATAGCTAAGAATTGGTAAATATATTTCTTTTCTTTTTTAAAACAGAAGAGGGGCACTGCTGTGATTTTAAAAAAGCATCATCTTTTTTCTACTTCAATGCGCACAAAAATGAGCATGAAGGCATAAGCTAGAGTTCCCTGTTACATGTGCATATATAACATATAAAGTGTGCAAAAATATGGTCTTAAATGCTTGCAGCCTCTGACTTCTCATGCCAAGTTTCAGCCTGGGTGAGATGTGACAGCCAAGTTACAAACCACTGAAAACTGGGGTTTCTATTGCAAATTCCAGCAAGCCTTTAGCTTCTGTGGTACCGGGGGCTGCCACTGTAACAGGGCCTTTTATTCCCATGAGAAATCTTGGGAACAAGACCCCAGATTATCATTTTCCATGCCATTTCTGTAGGAATAGACCTTTTGCGTGTCAGAGCGGATTAATTTTTCCTAGTTCTAAACTCCTTGTGCACAAAAGTTAATCCAAACCAGACAGGAGTCAATTAGGTCATTAACGTGCTAAGCCTATTAACAGCCATGACTTACATTTCTTCCTTGCAACAATGAAAAACATCCAGGGGTCTGCTTTTAAGCAGAAAGGCCCATGAGCGGTTCCATTATTTTATTACACCACCACTTGTTGCCGGGGCTGCTTGATCCAGCCGGATTTCTACATGGGGAAGCGGGTGCTGTTTTGCTTTCGCCTGGCAGGTTTGCAGCCTTGGTCCCTTCACATCCCAGATGCTCACACCCTCGCCAGAAGAGGAAGGCAATCTGGTGATTAATGCACAGAACCGCAATTCAGCTCATCTGGGTTTTGTTCCCAGCTCTGCAACAGACTCCCTGTGTGATGCTGGGTGGGCCAGGCGCACAAAAGAAGCCACCGACTCAATGGGAGTCTTTCCTTTGACTTCAGAAGACTTTGGCTTGGGCTTTTAGTCTCCCTGTTCCTCATTGTCTCTAGCTGTAAAATGACCAACTTGCCAGGGAGGGCGAGAGGATAAATTCCCTCGTGGACTGCACAAGGCACAGACATGAAAGTGCTGCGAAAACCCTGTAACAAAGGGCCCGACGCCACAAGTTTCTGATCTTCCTCAGCTTCAAAGCAGCAGAGCTGACCATGCAGGATTGGCCTTGTGTTTCATGCTTCGCTTCCCCAAATTGGAAGAACCGAGAAGTGAAAACAACGCGCAATTAGTTGCAGTGTGCAACACAATGAAACCTGGCTACGTTTGCTGACCAGCGCATATCGTGGTTTAGAGGAAAGCCTATACATCAGTTTTTAAGTTTAAAAAATCTGCACTCTTAGTACTTAAAAACTTAGCTCCTGAACCAGAGTCATGGTCCCAAGCCCAATGTACATTGGTCCCAAGCCCGATGTAACCCAAATCAATACTCCACCGCCCCCCGCAGAAGCGTCCGATGTCTGAAACCACACAAGAGATCAACAAATGCATTACTAAGAGCTCCGACAGGCAGGAGAAAGCAAGGTCTCGTCCCCCGAGACTCATTTTAAATGGAAGTCTACCATCAAGCAGCAAATAGTGCCAAGAAGAGTGAATTCAAATTAGTGTGCAAGAGTAAGCTGACTACCATAGGAAGGTGTTGGATCCTTTACCTAAGGGATACACAAAACGTAGGGCCGACATCACCGCAACCCAGGACCTTCCGACTGCTGCTGTCATCCCTACAGCCGGACGGATCGATGACCATGCCCACCACTGTCATGATCTCCAGGAATTCAAACAGACAGCGCAGGGGACGGGACGGGGGGGGGTGGACACACACACCAGGCACATTGTGCAGCCTGGCAGGCAAGGCTTTGCACAGCACGAGACAGACCTGCACGCGTTAAACCAGATGGACCAGATCCCTTGGGGGCGTAAATCGACACAGCCCCACTGGAGCCCGTGTTGTGCCAGCTCCGCCAGCTGAAAACCTGGCCTCTGTCTTACAGATGGAAGAGGACTGAATGCAGTTGCTGAATGCGCGTTCAGACAGCCTCCGGGACCTCTGATAAAGGAGAAGACATGCTCGTACCAAGCAGCTGTTTTACTATGAACATCAAACAAAACAAAACAAAAAAATGGGGGAAAAAAAGAGTGGGAACAGCTGCATTTTTTCAGCATTTCAAGCTGCTAAGCACTGAAAGGCTGAGAAGATTTGCAACAGCTCAGAGGCACAAACCCTCCAAGCAGATAAATTTACTGACACTTTTGATCTTTTATTCCTCCATGGCACTGGAATTACTAGGGGGGAGGGCTGGGGGAAGCGAAGGAGAAGATATCAGTAGACAGGGACATGTTACCTAAAGAACAGAAGTGCCATTGTTAAAGGGAGCTTCTTGTTCTCCTGTTATACTGGAAGTTGGGGCTTCCTGCCTATAAAATTACACCTGCGTCTGTCATCCCTTTTTGGTTTGAAGGGATCGTTTTAGTGATGTCCCACTTCAGAACTTCCTAGTGACACGAGCATCCTCTTTCTCCCCACAGTCCTATATCCAGGTATACAGAGATGCCAAAGACAGTACTGAGGCTCAGAGGGTAAACTCAGAATTTGAACCTCTTTGACTTAAGGGATCAACTTTAATGCATTAGGATTTCTCTCTCCAGGGGTCAGCTTCCAAATCACCACCCCTGGATTTGGACTGGGTTCACGGCCAACCTGAAGCTACAGACTTGGTGCGAGACGCAACGCATGCCTTCCACCAGGTATTCCAATTACACGCTCAAAGGACACCGTCTTACACAGTCCTTTTTCTCCGCTACACACAGGATCTCTGGACCTACAGAACAGCTTTGTGGCATCTTCAGTCATAAAGGTAGGACATGCGCGTGCATAGGAAGGCCTGATCTTTTTGCCACAGACTGCAGCAGTAAAGCTCCCATGGGCTTCAATACTGCAGGCTCAGCCCTTTCATGGCAGCACAGTATAAAATGCCTTTAATGAGGCTCTCAAAGCACTGCAGAAGCATTAAAGATCTGAACACACAGGTAATGTGTGCAAATAACAACATTTACCGATTTCCGGGAAAGCAAATTGAAGACATTTTTTAATTCTCAGAGTGCTGGAGCTGGGCACAAAACTCCTGCTTCACAGCATGCCGCTATAACCACCGCGCACCGTCTCTCACTCACGTTGCTCCAAGAAACCCATTTCAGCACAGGTTAGTCAGCCCATTTTCCATTTCTCTCTTCTCACAAGGCCAAACCCACGGCCACGCATCATCCATGACTACCTCCAATTGCCCTAATGCCCGAATCAACCGGATCGCACGTGAACGAAGAAACGTGGCAGAACCGCAGGCACCACCATAACCGCATTTGTGTCACGCGAGGTCAATCGTGCATCTCAAACTCACCAGATACGACTCTGCAGTGTTCATCGGGACCCCGCAACCTCACGGGAGGGCTGGATTTTGAGGACCGTTTGCGCCGGATGAAGTGCTCTTTTCCGCTGAACGAGGTTTCCGAGATATTAACTGGTTGTATTAGCAGGTGTTCTGACCCGACCTGGATGTAGCCAATCTGTCCGCAAAGGAGAGAGAGAAAAATCATTGCTTGCTTTGGCACCTTAACCATTTATCTTTTCATGATTTATCAGTTTGGTGGGGGGTGGGAGGAACTTAATCCCACATCACACCCTTTGCCACAAGTCTGCATGCTCGCTCATTATGTTAGACCTAAAAGACCCACCGAATATTGTAGCCCGAGAAAGCCAGAGAGCTCCACCCCTTATTCATGTCGCTATGAATTATTTCTAATACAATTGCACCTGGAAGGCCTGCCACGCTACAGATCTAGAAAGACAGCTTATACATTTTTTGCAGGAGGAACTACGGCTAACACCGGGCTGAAAAGTGTGGTCCTTTAGCAATGGTTGGAGCACATACTTGTATTTTTTCTTGTACATGGAGAATCGTGGTAGAAGTATAACCTCTTACATTTTTGGAGACTCTTCTGGTCTCCACAAAGCAGATTGAAACTCTACCACCATCTGAAAACTGGAAAGGCACATGGAAAAACACACCGAGCAACCAAACAAAGCTGGAATAACCATTGTGGGGTCCAGGACCTACGTTTTTAAGTACTAAGAGTATCAGAGATTAAAAAAAAGACTAGGATGGATCATCCTGGGATAAACAAGCTGGTTCAAAAGAGCTAGAAAATCCAATTGATTCACCTAAGCATATTCCAGAGCAGACCAGGTCTTGCTCCATGCTGTGAGATACCAGGGGAGGATTTTTTTTAAGGACCATAAGACAAGAGAATCACAATGATGGGGAGAAATGGGAATTACCAAGTATGGGCTAGAAAGTGAGCTGAGAGCTAGGAAACTCAGTTGAACTGAAAAAAAAGAAAGAATGAGGAGTAGAAAGGATGTGCTACACACATATATCCCAACCATCAGCAACTCGCTTCAGCTAAACCTGCAAGCTAAGCCCATGGCATGGAGGTCTTTATTTTATTTATTTTTTTTTTTTACTTAGTAACATTTGCCCAAGTGACAAACATATGTTAGTTTTTCTGTACTGTGTTTTCTCTCTCCCTCTTTTTTTTTTTAAATCAGAAAATAGCTGGAAGCTTAGACAAGTACCAAACCCCGCAATGAATCCCCAGGCCTGACCACACAGAAAGGGAAAAAAAAAAAAAGAGAGAGATGCTTTCCCCATATGGATTTCGCTACTCCCAAAACTAAAAGGTCACTGTTTACACAATCAAAGTCTTTTTGAATCCTATGAGTTTCAGGGGCTCCAAGGCACAAGGTAAGACAATGTCCACTGCTGAAAAGGCGAGTGTCTACATCTCATTTGCATGAAGACTGCAGATACCCACATTAGATGATTTAAGTTCTGGTTTCATACTGCTTCCAGATAGCAAACAGAATTAGGAAGCTGTGAATACGTCTGAACCAGCCATAACCCCCCAGACAAGTGACAATAACTCCCAATCTGACGGCATTTTATGGAGGAAATGAAAGTACCACCACTAGGTGGAGATCCAAGGTCTCTATTTCAATAGAAATTGTGCCAAGACCAACCAAGACATTTTACTGAACAAATAAAGCTGTCTTCAAGTGCATGGTCAACCAGGCAGTTCAGGCTTTCCTCCCACGTTTCAAGTTACATCCTTGATTAATTCATCAAGGACATTAGGACGCTGGAAAAAAGAGGGAACGTGGACGGAAGAGGCCAGGATGACTGAAGTGTGTTATATGCAGAACGGTGTAGCTCTAGTTTGGGAAGATTCACAAAAGGAGACAGTAGGACACACTCCAGCCTAGCACGTATTTCATATCTATCGATTGCTACCACATCTCTGAACAATGCTAAGCCCCTCTACAAGACGACACTGCACTCTCAGTCACGGCGAGCCCCAAGCCTGGGTTTTAGAAAAAGTCTTGTTCACAAAATGCCACTAGTAGAAAAGTTTCCATGGCTATTTTTAAATTTCAGTGAAAGCAGCTATTTTGTTTGGCCCAAAACTATCTTCTGCATTGTTACTGAGCAGGGTTAGCCAGCTCGTAAGCACGGAGACACGAAGATGCCTGCAACCAGACAAAAGCCTGGCGGTCCCGGTCCCAAAGCCGAAGCAGAATAAAGGGGGAGATGCTGTGTCCCGAGAGGTGCAACACAGAGCCTCCAGCACAGGGGAAGGAGAGATCATCACTCCCTCTTACCTTTGTGACTCCAAGGTCTGAAGAAATGCTCAAAGGTGGCCCTGGGGACCCCAAATAAACAACATCTCCCATACCAAGGAAATTTTTTTGGGAGTGGGGGCTGAATCCAGGGCTTTTTAGAGCTCATTAGCACTGTTCCTACCTTCTTATGGGTGCAAAGAGGGCAGTGAGAGCGAGGACATCACCCAAAACCTTCAGGATCTTTCCATTTGAATAAACCACAGTAGGGTGGTAAGCAAGTCAGAAAACAGGAGTTTGGAAAATATGGTTTTACCATAATATGCACCGAAATGAATGAAATCACTGTGCCTATCTCCAGTGTACTGACCTGTAACCTAAAACTGGCCCTTAAAAGTGCTGTCCAATTAAAGGCGTCATGCAACTTCTACTGCAGTCTATTAGAAAGCTGCTATTGCTTTCAGCAAGAGCTAGATGCCACCTTTAGTCGGACCCCCAAAGGGATCCGTTCACCTATTCATCCAGGTCACGTGTATGCAATACTTTCCTGCCTAGTGCAGGGAGGCTGGACCCGATGATCTTGCAAGGTCCCTTCCAGCTCCTTACGATCTACGAATACTCACTGGATGGCTACTGAGAAAGCATGACCTGACTTCTTCCATGTGTTTTATGCCAGATGGGCAGCGATCCAAATGAAGACTGCATGTGCATGCAAATCCTGTACTGATATGATTTATAATGCACATTACCTATATGCTGGGAATTCTGCATTTCCACACTCAGCACCAGACCTTTGTTTGCTCTGCAACTCAGGCCATCCCAGAGTTGGGTCCACTATCTTTAATCAGAGGACTTACAGGAAAAGCAGATTGTTCTCATCTCTAATGTCTAGGTGTTGTAAACAATTATGGAAGGGATCAGAGAGCCAAAATTAAACCTCCCCAAAACAGGATACTTTGAAAATCCTGGCCTTTAAACCCTCTTGGTTGCCTCAAATCAGACCTGCCCAAACCACAAGATTGGGGTGATAAAGGCAGCATCCCCACTCCAAAAGCCTGCCAGGAGGCTAAGGTGAGCGGCATTTGTAAAATGCATAGAGCATCTCAGATGGCATGTGCTAATCATGTGCAAGAACAGTCCTCCAGGACGCCTACCAAGGTCACACAACTTGCTCTGCCCTGGAGTTTCTAAAGAGCCGGGCCTCTTATCTCCAGTTAGAAGCTGGGTCTCGCCAAGCTCGTTTTTGGAAATAGCAAATGCTTTGGTGCCTTCTTCTGGCCTCCTCCAGGATGCTCTCACTTGCATCCATTCCTTGTTCCAACCTTCCAGCTGGGAGGTATTCCCAACCTACTTTTTCTAATATAGGTTTTAGTCATGTAAGAGAACGGTAAACCTGGTGCCATAGTACTAAAAGCCATGCCAGTGCTCCTGAGACAACGCCAGCCATTCTCTCTGGTGCCAAAACTATGTAAGAGGTGGTTGGTTTCATCACCCCCCCACCCATTATCCCAATGTTCTGGCATCACACACAAAAATCATTTAAACCATTGGAAAGGCCTAATATTTCCCATTTGTTTTGGAACTGCAAAATCTCTTTCCTCTCAATCCATGGAAGGAAAGGAGTCCTATGTCTCTACCCAGGAAAAGTGAGGGTCCAACCCTACAAGCTAACTGTCCTGGTGGGTTTACAGAGTTAGACTGTCCCCCAACTTTACCAGGGATGGGCACTGAAGGCTGCGGGGTTCAACCACAGTCGTTCTCATCTACTGACCCGAGTCCTCTCCGACTGGGTGCATAATTTTGTTTTTCTACAAGTGCTTTTTTTCATGGGGACTCTCCCAGCCCCTGACCGAACCAAGCCTGGCACCACATTGTCCTGAGAACAAGGCATTGGCCCCCGAATAATGCTGCAGGGAACTTCCCTTAGCCTCGTTTATCCCGAAGAAGAGATGTTCAAGGCTGAAAGGAGGCTGGTTTGTGGTTACAAGCCAAACACAGCACAATGGCACTGGTATTTCCAAGCCCCCGGTGGATTTTTTTTTAAATTGTTCCAATTAAATTAACTATTCAGGGTCTGTCAAGGACAAAGGTTATGGGGTGGGGGGGAGATACAATTTGGGGTACTCCTTATGATCTTCACTCTGCTGATCTCTTGAGAAAACAGATGCAAAGCATAAGACAAGCTGTCATGACATCGAAGACCAGCACAGGGTGGACGTGCAAGAACGCCAGAAGGCATTGGCCAACGACCTTCAAAATGCAGGAGGCATGAGAGCAACTGGCCACAAGAAAATTCAGCACGGGGGCTTTTTCTGCAACTTGGGAAATTTCTAAATATTCTGCAAACTGGCAGCTATGAATCTACCTTGCCTTTTACAGTGAGCACGACAGGACATTACCACTGACAGAAGCACGCCATGCAGCTAATAGGAAAGTTGGAATTATTTCAGCTTCAAAAGGCACGCCACCAAGCTGCCAAGCCAATAAAAATAAAAATAAAAAACCATCCCTCGTTTGCTCCTCTACCACAGTAGCTATGGCAGCCGCTTCTTTCGGCTCCTCCTGCATTCAGCTTTATTTGTCATCGTTTCATAAGAACTCGGCAGCAAAAGATGGCATTTTCTACCACGATTAAAGTGTTCCCGCACACGCTCCCGGCTTTCTGAATTTCCAGCGAGTGACATGCAAAGCGATCGCCCATGCAAGAGGAAGTCTGCTAACTCTCTGACCTACGTCTCTGCCAGCAGTAGCTCAATATCTTTCAGGAGTCTCTACATCAACCTGTTCACCTCCAAGGCCGTATTTAGGTTGTATTTAGGGAGAAGTTCTTCTTACACTGCCCCCAGCATAAATCCCCCAGGGACTGCAACAGAAGTGCTAGCACTCACAC